CCAGACACGAGGACCGACTAGGAGAAGCACTCATTGAGAGCAGACCTGCAGAGGAGGACTTGGGAGTTCTGGTGGACAAAAGGCTCGACATGAACCAGCAGCATGCACTTGCAGGCCAAAAGGCCAACTGCATCCTGGGCTGCATCAACAGAGGAGTGGCCAGCCAGTTAAGGGAGGGGATTACTGTCCCCCCTCTACTCCGCCCTTCTGAGGCCTCACTTGGAGTACTGCATCCAGGTCTGGACCCCCAGCACAAGAAAGATTTGGACCTGTTAGTGCGAGTACAGAGGAGGGGCTACAAAGACGATCAGAGGACTGGAGCACCTCTCCTATGAAGAAGGGCTGAGAGAGCTGGGACCGTTCAGCCTGGAGGAGAGAAGGTTACAGGGAGGACCTCACTGTGACCTTTCAATAATTAAAGGAGTCTTGTAAAAAGGATGGAGAAGGACTCTTTACTCGGGTAGATAATGATAGGATGTAGGAAGTGGTCTTAAACTAGAAGAAGATAGGTTAAGACTAGACTAGGAGGAAATGCTTCACTGTAAGAGTAGTGAGGCACTGGAACATGTTACCAAGAGAAGTCGATGCCCCATACCTGGAGGTGTTCAAGGCAAGGCTGGATGGGGCTTTGGCCAACCTGATCTAGTGGGTGGCATCCCTATCTATGGCAGGGGGGTTGGAGTTAGATGATCTTTAAGATCCCTTCTAACACAAGCCATTCTATGATCATAGAATAGAATCATAGAATCATAGAATATCCTGAGTTGGAAGGGACCCTTAAGGATCATCAAGTCCAACTCTTGACACCGCACAGGTCTACCCAAGTTCAGACCATGTGACTAAGTGCACAGTCCAATCTCTTCTTAAATTCAGACAGGCTCGGTGCAGTGACCACTTCCCTGGGGAGCCTGTTCCAGTGTGCAACCACTCTCTCTGTGAAGAACCCCTTCCTGATGTCAAGCCTAAACTTCCCCTGCCTCAGCTTAACCCCGTTCCCGCGGGTCCTGTCACTGGTGTTAATGGAGAAAAGGTCTCCTGCCTCTCGACACCCCCTTACGAGGAAGTTGTAGACTGCGATGAGGTCTCCCCTCAGCCTCCTCTTCTCCAGGCTGAACAGGCCCAGTGCCCTCAGCCGTTCCTCGTACGTCTTCCCCTCCAGGCCTTTCACCATCTTCGTAGCCCTCCTCTGGACATTCTCCAACAGTTTCATGTCCTTTTTATACTGTGGTGCCCAGAACTGCACACAGTACTCGAGGTGAGGCCGCACCAGCGCAGAGTAGAGCGGGACAATCACCTCCCTCGACCTACTAGCGATGCCGTGCTTGATGCACCCCAGGACACGGTTGGCGCTCCTGGCTGCCAGGGCACACTGCCGGCTCATATTCAACTTGTTGTCTACCACGACCCCCAGATCCCTCTCTTCTAGGCTGCTCTCCAGCGTCTCATCGCCCAGTCTGTACGTGCAGCCAGGGTTTCCCCGTCCCAGGTGCAGGACCCGGCACTTGCTCTTATTGAACTTCATGCGGTTGGCGATCGCCCAGCTCTCCAACCTATCCAGATCCCTCTGCAAGGCCTTTCCACCCTCATTCGAGTCCACAACTCCTCCAAGTTTGGTGTCATCAGCAAACTTGCTCAAAATGCCTTCTATTCCTACATCCAGATCGTTTATAAAAATATTGAAAAGTACCGGCCCTAAAATGGAGCCTTGAGGGACCCCACTGGTGACCGCCCGCCAGCCTGACGCAGCCCCATTCACCATAACCCTTTGGGCCCTGCCCGTTAGCCAATTGCTCACCCATCGTATGATGTTTTTATTTAGCTGTATGCTGGACATTTTGTCCAGTAGGATCCTATGGGAAACCGTGTCAAAAGCCTTGCTGAAGTCCAAAAAAATCACATCAGCTGGTTTCCCTTGGTCCACCATACGGGTGATCTTATCATAAAAGGAAATCAGGTTAGTTAGGCAGGACCTACCCTTCACAAACCCATGCTGGCTGGGACCAATGACTGCTTTGTCCCCCAGGTGCGCCTCAATACGTTCGAGAACCATCTTCTCCATGATTTTACCAGGCACTGATGTGAGACTGACAGGCCTGTAATTGCTAGGGTCTTCTTTCTGACCCTTCTTGAAAATCGGCACAACATTTGCCAGCTTCCAGTCTACCGGGACCTCTCCAGACTCCCAGGATCGTTGAAAAATAATTGAGAGAGGTTCCGCGATGACGTCCGCCAGCTCCTTCAGCACCCGGGGATGAATCCCATCCGGACCCATGGACTTGTAGGGATCCAGGTGGAGTAGCAGATCCCGCACACGTTCAGGGTCGGTTGGGAGTTTGTCATCCCCACCGTCCCGGTCCTCCAGCTCGGGGCACCCTGGGTCCCGAAGCCCATCATCGGCATTGAAGACAGAGGCAAAGAAGGCGTTAAGCGTCTCTGCTTTGCCTATGTCATCGTCTGTGAGAAGACCTTCCCTGTCAAGGAGCGGCCCTATGTATTCTTTAGTTCTCCTTTTTCCATTCACATATCTAAAAAAACCCTTTTTATTTTCTCTCACAGACACAGCCAGCTTCAACTCTAGGTGTGCTTTAGCCACACGAATTTTCTTCCTACAGACACGAGCAGCATCCCTGTATTCTTTCCATGTCACCTGGCCCTCCTTCCAGTAGCGAAACACTCTCTGTTTCCGCCTAATCTCCATAAGAATGTTCCTGGTCAGCCACGACGGCCTCCTGCCCCGCCTGCCTGACTTGCGATATTTAGGAATTGCCTGATCTTGTGCTTCTAGGAGGCATCGCTTAAAGAGTGACCAGCACTGGTGGACATCAAGGCCTTCAAGAGCAGCTTCCCAGGGGACCTTGCTGACTAGTTCCCCGAGCAGCCTGAAGTCCGCCTTCCCCATATCTAGGGATGAGGTTTTGGTGGCACTTTTCCTTCTGTCACCGTAAATTTTGAACTCAACCACTTCATGGTCGCTATGACCGAGGTGGCCACCAATCACCACATCTCCCACCAGACCCTCTCTGTTTTCTAGCAACAGGTCTAGGAGGGCACCTTTCCTAGTTGGCTCCGTTAGCACCTGCACCAAGAAGTTATCATCTAGGTGCTTCATGAACCTCCTGGACTTGCTCGTGTCAGCCGTGTGGCACTCCCAGTTAACGTCTGGCAAGTTGAAGTCCCCCATAAGGACAAGGGGAGTTAATCTCGAGGCCTCTCTTAGTTCTGTAAAGAATAAGTTATCGGCGCTATCGTCCTGGCCAGGCGGTCTGTAATAGACTCCCACAACGACATCCCCTTTATTCGTTCGTCCCTTGATCCTTACCCAGAGGCTCTCAACTTTGCCATCGCCGACCTGAAGTTCCACACAGTCCAGCCCCTGCTTCACATACATCGCCACCCCACCACCTCGCCTACCCTGCCTGTCCCTCCTGAAGAGCCTGTAACCGTCTATCGCAACACCCCAGTCACAGGACTCATCCCACCAGGTTTCGCTTATGCCGATGATGTCGTAGTTGCGGGACTGGGCCAGGACTTCTAGCTCATCCATTTTATTCCTCATACTGCGTGCGTTCGTGTAGAAGCATTTCAGGTGCGTATGATGATTCTATTGTAACCATATTCTAAACCAGCTAGGAACTTTTTAGTTAGTAATGAAAACCATCAAGAGAGATCACAATGTTTTTTGTGAATGTTTTACAGAATCACAGAATCACAGAATTTCTAGGTTGGAAGAGACCTCAGGATCACCGAGTCCAACCTCTGACCTAACGCTAACAGTCCCCACTAAACCATATCCCTAAGCTCTACATCTAAATGTCTTTTAAAGACTTCCAGGGATGGTGACTCCACCACTTCCCTGGGCAGCCTGTTCCAGTGTCTAACAACCCTTTCAGTAAAGAAGTTCTTCCTAACATCTAACCTAAAACTCCCCTGGTGCAACTTAAGCCCATTCCCCCTCGTTCTGTCACCAGGCACATGGGAGAACAGGCCAACCCCCACCTCACTACAGCCTCCTTTAAGGTATCTGTAAAGAGCAATAAGGTCGCCCCTGAGCCTCCTCTTCTCCAGGCTGAACAAGCCCAGCTCCTGCAGCTGCTCCTCGTAGGACTTGTTATTAAGACTTTTATTCCTTTATTGAGGCCTTTTGGATGAACCTATTCCCAAGACAGAAGGTGCACAGAAGCAAAAAAAGGCTCCTCGAAGACAGTCAGATCCCAAGCAGGGAGCGCTAAGATCAACTAGTAGCGACAGGTAAATATATGAGCTTTAGAAAATAACCTAAGTTAGACTGTAAGTAATTTGGGAATTGCTTGTTTCTCAACCTTTTTACTCTAATCTTAGTTCGGTATAGCCTGACTGAGGCCCTTGTATACTACTGAGAATTTCATCCTAATGTGTATTAGAGTATCTGAATACTATCAGTACTGAAATGGTTATACCTCTTGCTGAAGATATGTTATGAGCAAAGCAAGACTAAATGGGACTTTGTGGGGACCTGGTGCAGTTGAGACAGTCATCAGGCCTACAGCATCTGCACTGTGCAGACTCACTTGCTATTTTCTTCATATCCTTGTGTCTCATTATCTCCAAAATAAATTTTGTAAACACTATTGCATATGTCTGTTTGTATCTGCTTACCAGACCCCCCGCCACTGATTTTTTTTCATTGTTTTTATAACCTGCATTTGTGATAAGTAGCAGCAGAATTCAGCCAAGATACAGTAGACTGAGATTATTTTTTTTCAATCCACTGCAATGTAAAACTTTATTATATTTATTCCACTATTTGAAAATTATATGGAGGGGAACATTCATTTACATTACCTTTGGGCAATAATCTGATATATGTAATCTCTGTTTTAATATGAATTGTTATCAAGGCTCTGGATCAGTGCTAGCCTGGTGTGGAAGCAGAGTAAAACAGAGAGAAATTCAGTTTTAATGGTTTGTCTCTGCCTTTAGGATAACTTGATTGTATAGCCACTGACCCTGCTTGCCCTTACCTGTGTATTGTTTCGCAGTAACTTTTGTCTTCATCTTTGCAGAATAATCTCAGCCTCTTTTGAAAGCTTTTCTGAGAGTCATCATCTTTCCACTAGTTCAGATCCTGATACTGTAGCAAACAGAGAGGAGAGCTCACCATCTAGCTATCCGTTCCATCTGGCTTCTTTATACAATGAGGACATCATTGACTTGAAGTGAAGACAGACAGACTGTTCCTTACGTTACCTTTTCTTACAGATCTGTGAGCTCTGTAGGAATGTCACAAACACTGCTTCTAGTGGTAAAACATACTTTCATGAAACATTACTTTTTTGGCATTCTAAATATAGGTAATCAATGAGAGCTTCAGGCTGAAAATGAAGTAAAAAGTATTATTTATTCTGAGCTTCTTATAATTGAAGTACCTGAATGAAAGTGGCATTCAGTTAATTGCTGTTACTAATATCTTGAGCTGTTTTACAGGTGTGCACCATGTAGAAAGAAGATGATGTAAATGACTCATTTTGTTTTTTCATTCTTAAAAAAAAAAAAAGCTTTTAGACAAGGTCTTTCCAGACAACGCAAGTGCAGTCTGTCCTTGAAATGATGGAGCTGTGTTTTATTCACTGAGGATTGATGGTTACTCTATAAAGATCAGGTAACACGAACGTGCTGTTTTCTTTTCTCAGACCTGTCCTGGACATTTTTTTTTTTAAGAGAAACTTGAAAACTGTTTTGGTATTAAGAATCTTTGAGTAGAATGACTTTTTATAAGAAAATACAAGCTTTCAAATCTTCCATAAAATTGGAAGTCAAAAACACATTGTATTTCTCCACAAAGGGAATGCTGTTTCTGTAGTGCACCTGCAGATTTTCTCATTACAGGCAGAAGCCCGTGCCCTGATTTTCTTTCTGACTACACAAAGATTCCTGTGCTGGCATCAGAATTAATTGTTGTCTGCTTTTACACCAACAATAGAATTCATTGCTCCAAGTAAACATTTTTCTAAATGGACCGGGCTGAAGTTTTACTGCCAAGAAGCTAGTTTTCTATGGTGAAATAGTCATATTAGATCTTTTGTTTTGTTAAAGGACAGTATTTCATCATTAAAGCTTGATTTTTTTTTAACCCTTTCCTCCATGCCAAAAATCAATTTTATACAATGTTGTGAAGGGGTTTGCTGTTTTTCATGAAAAAAGTGATGCTTCCAGGCTTTTTATATATAAAGATTTGGGCTTTATTAGGGTATTTCTTGCTCTTTATGTAGAAATATTTCTGTATCCTTGATTTATTTTGTAATACCATTTATGTATCATGATTTCCCCTGTCCAAGCATGACATCTGGTGATTTGTGCCTTTTGCTTCAGTCTGTCTGAATGTAAAACTTTTTTTTTTTTTTTGCAAAGTTTCATGGTATATGATGACTTTATTTCTCCATCTAAGAAAATATGCAAGGCCTTAACTGAAAGGATTACTTCTTATTCTCAGTCAGAGTGGCTGTTCAAGAAAAGAAGCAATATTTTAAACATTAATTAGTACAGGAACAGAAGCAGTATTAACCAGTGGCTACTTGTACTTTAGTATTTTTGCACCTAAATATGTATGGAGTTGTGTTGGGTCTGTCTGAGCTGGAGTCACCTTTTCCCTGCAGCAGCCCGCACAGTGCTGTACTCTGCATTCATAGCTGGAACAGCACTGATATCACTCCAGTGTTGTGTCTATTGCTGCGTAGTGCTAGCACAGCATCAGGACTCCTTCCAAGCCCGCAAGAGCCAGCAGGCTGGGGGTGGGCAAGTGATGGGGATGGGACATTGCCGGGGCAGCTGACCTAAACCAACCAAAGGGATATTCCATAACACCTGATGTCACACTCAGCAATAAAAGGGGGGGCTCTCGTGGGGGAGGGGGCTGTTCCCCCTGAACAACCACTACGCGTTTGAGGCCCTGCTTCCCAGGACGTGGCCGAATACCGCTCGCTGATGGGAAGTAGAGAATAATTTTTTTCTCTCTCTGTGCTTCCGCGCAGACGGATTGTTTCTTTTGTTTCTGTTTTTCCTCCCTATTCCCTTTCCCTTTAATTAAACCTTTCTCATCTCAAACCTCGAGTTCTCTGTGTTGTATTTTCTCCCCCTTCCTCTTTGAGGAGAGGGGGAGTGAGAGAGCGGTTGTGGTGGAGCTCGGCTGCCCACCTGAGTAAAACCACCACAGGAGTGAACCTTAGTAAACACCTGAAGTGCCACCTCAGAGTCTTTGCAAGAACTTGTAATTCTTTTTGAGAATGTCTCAGGGGGAAAAGGGGGGAGGAACAGTATCCATTTTCTCTGTTCTACTTACCTGGTTAGCTATGGTTCAAAAAAAAATCACTCTCAAAGTATTGTGTAGTCCTTATTCTGCTGCAAGTTGTAACCACTTGTGCGGACTCGTCGAATCTATTTTAGGGGAAGCACTGTTTGGGCTTGGGTATTTTTAGAAAGCAGAAGCATCACCTTTTTCCATAAACAGGTTTCTCAGTGTAGTATCTTTATTTCTGTTGTGTGGGTGTTTTTGAAGACTGTACTAGTGTGCTGCAAAACTCAGGCTTTAATTTCAATTTAATAAAATTTGAACTGGAAAGTTTGCTTTGAACTTTTAGATTATCAGATTTTAAATGTATTGCAGAGGTTCACTTCTGCTATTCTAGCATGATTTAACATGATTAAATGATAGTTTGATAGTAGTTGAGTACACGTGTATACATATGTTGATTAGAAAACTTGTTTGAAGAACCTGAACAAACACATATTTAGGTATCCTGAAAGACATAGAAAGACCTTTTAGATGGAGCAGTAGAGAGATCAAGAAGAATGGAGAAAGCTTGACTGTAACTGACCTAGGGTGATAGTCAGGATGAAAAACCACAGCAGTGGCAATAAAGTATTGCTATGAAGTGTGTGTGTGGAGTTCTGCCTGTAATAGCAGCATTGATGACATCTAGCAAATACTAACAAGCAGCAAGAGTACTGTAAGGAATACAGCAAGTCTGACTGCTTAAGCTAGATGAAAAAGGAAAAAAAAAAAAAAAAAAAAAGATCAGACTAGCTTCATGGTCTTTATTTTATCTGGAACAGGATGTTGGAAGAGTTTGAGGAGGGAGGAAGCACAGATCCCATATCAATTGGCTTGTCTCTCCCCTCCAGTCTGAATTTTATGGTATAGTTTAATGTGTCTGATGCAAACTGTTATGCAGGTCACATTGGGAACTACCAGACCTAAAATAATATTACTCGTACAGGACAGGCAGGATCTGAGCACTGGAGAAAATGACCTGTCTTCATGCCTTAGGTATGCAGTAAGTGCCTTAACAGTGCTGTCGCTTCTTGAGTATTTACTTCTGTGGTCAACCAGCATGTCATGCAGGCATGGAGGAATAATATTAGACCTAGCAAAAGGAGGTGAAGGAGGGATCGGGCAAAATTATTTTGTTTTATATGACTCCTAGGTATAGTAACTGAGGCTTTAGGATCATGTTTGTGTAGTTTACTCTCTACTTACCATACAAGAGCAGTCTGGAGTGTAGATAGAAGGCAGGGAACATGGCAGTTATGCTTCAATTTTGTTTGACACAAGCCACAAGAAGCAGTGTGAAGTTCTTCTTCACATTTGTCTTATCTAAAAGACAAAGTACCATACAATAATATGAAACTGCTGGGAAAACTGGACAAATAGCCATTATACAAGTAGTCTTCGTCAGACTGTGGCATGAATTACATGCATCTTAGTGTGATGAGACGTTGTTCTCTGAACTAGCTTCTAGACATTGGCTGTCTCAAAGTAGTGTCTTAGATCCATCCTCTTCAGGCTCTTGATCAAAACAAAAGCCAACTGTTGGTATTGATGGATAGGTTCTTGTTTGTCATTTCTAAAGGCCACATTTTTCATACATCTGTGTAATCTCTCTTCAAACCAGTGTCAGGTGACCAGGAAACATGAAATGGCTTATTGGAAGGCTACTGAGATGGACAGGTATACCATTCTTTACTCTGGCCCCTTGGAATAATGTTTTTTCTCTTCTTTGTAACATGAGTCTACTCATTAAAGCTTAAGAAGTAGCCTTGGACACAAATAGCAGCCGTGTCCACCCTAAGCACAACCTTTCCCTCTTTCACATCTTCTGTTAAAACTGCTACTAGTAGCCTGTGTTCTTAGTGTTGGCTGATCATCATATCCACGAGAAAAAAGAAAATCTTTAAAACTACAGCTATGATGGGTAGATGCTTTTTCTAATGAAGAAGACTACTGAATAAAGATTGCTACCACCTTCAACAGAAGGGTTAAAAAATATTTGGGCGAAATATGGGCGAAAGGGGCTTTGTATGCGTTTTCTGGGGTCCTATTTTAAATTCCTCTCAGATTCCGGGTAGGGATATATTTAGGGTTGTTCAGAAAGAGCGAACACAGAGAGTATTCACAGAGAGTATGCCTGTGAGGTGCCTGAGGATCTGCCTTTTTTTTCTTTAGTGGCTGCTTCTTGTAGTCTCAGAGAGGCGAATCCTCTCTGGAATGCTGAGGAAAGGCAGGAGGGTTATCAGCCCAGTCAGTGTCCCTAAGCAAGGGTCCCCCTAAGGCAAGTCTCTGAAGTGTTTCCCCTCTGTTTTAGTGGTGCTGTGGTACGCGTTGCTCAGAATCTGCTGAGTGTCTGAGGTGAGGTGGGGGGAAGCTGCTTGTACACTGTTGGAGCCTGGGTTGGGGGGGGGAGGTTTGGAGCTGGTTCTACACCTTTGGGGCTGTCATCGGGGGTAGATGGATTGGGTGCAGGCAGTATACTGTAGGAGCCTGTGTTTGGGGGGGGCTTGGGGCCTGCGTCTGGGGGAGGGGTGGGAGCTGTTTGTACACCTTTGGGGCCTGCATCTGGGGGTGTTTGGGAGCTGCTTGTACACTGTAAGGGCTTGTGTTTGGGGGGGCTTGGGGGACTCCCTCGGGGGGGGGGGGGGGTTGGGAGCTGTTTATATAGGGTAGGGGGCCTGCCTTGCAGGGGATGGGAGCTGCTCGTAGAATTTGGGGCCCTGTGTCTGGGGGGGTTGTGGCCTGTGTCTCAGGGGGCTTAGGAACTGGTTGTACACCTTTGGGGCCTGTCTCTGGTGTGGGAGCTACTTGTACACTTTTTGGGCCTGTCGTTGATGGGGGTTGGGAGCTGCTTGTACACTTCTGGACCTATGTTCAGGGGGATTGGGAACTGCTCATGCATTGTAGGTGCCTCCCTTTTGAGAGGGGTTGGGGCCTTGGGGCCTGCATCTGTGGGTGGTTGGGAGCTGCTTGTACACTTTAGGGGCCTGGGTCTCATACCCTGGGTCTGGGCTGTTTGTACACCTTTGTGGCCTGTGTTTGGGGGGGATGCCTGTGCCTGGGGGAGTTGAGAGGTGCTTGTACATTCTAGGGGCCTCCACTTGGGGGTCTTTGGGGCCTCCCTTTGAGGGGGAGGGAGTTGGGAGTTGGTTGTACACCTCTGCATCCCATGTCTTGGGGGGGGCAGGGGGTTGGGACCTGTCTCTGAAGGGGCGGGTTGTGAGCTGCTTGTACACCTTTGGGACCTGTGTCTGGGGGGGGGGGGGGGGGAGGGACCTGGGTCTGGGGCCTGTGTCTGGGTGGAGTCCAGTTCTTGGGAGGGGGTGTGGGGGTGGGGGCTGCTTGTGGGCAGTTGGGGTCTCCATTTGGTGTGGTTGGTGCCTGCTTCTGTTGGCAGTTTGGGGCCTGCTTGTAGACTTCTGCAGCCCGGGTGTGGAGGCTTTTCTGTAATGTTTGGGGTCTGCATTTTTGCTTTGGGATGCATCTTGAGCTTTTGAGGCCTAGCTGTAGCGTTTGGGGCCTGCATCTGGGGATTTTCTGTAGCGTTTTGGTCACGTGTTTGTGATTTGGGGCCTGTATCCAGGGTTTTGCCTTTTTTGTAGTTTCCATCTTTGTGTCTGTGTTTCGTTGTTGGTTGTCTGGGGTTAGGGGCAGTTTGGGGTTTGGATTAAGGTCAGTGTCATTAGCGTTAGGGGGTTGATAATAAGGGTTAGGGTTGTGGTTAGAGTTGTTAGGTTTAAGGGGGATAAGGATTTCAGGGTAAGGGGATCAAGGCTGTGGGAATAAAAATGTTTTTGCGCAGTTACATCCTTTAGAGGGAAGGAAGGTGGTATTGAGATATGCTTGCAGTGATAAGAGAGCTTAACAGTATGAAATGTGTTCATTTGATTTGTGTCAATATGGAACAATGCTAGGGCCGCATGATACGATGAAACGTGACCTTATGTCTTACATACCCTTGTATAACCACATGCTCAGTGAGGAGTGGTCGTACCTTGGAGGCAGGTAGCTTTTGGGATGGAGGTGTGTTTTGGTATTATAATGATATTATAATGAGCAAAAAGTACACTAGGGTACAGCATTTGTCAAAACATGACAGGTCTTTGGCTCAGGGTGGCAAAAAGTGCAGCTTTGTGCACAAGAACAATCGAGTCCCCACCTGATTACAGAGCCTAGCCGTGGTGTCTCCACTCCACTCCACTCCACGCTCCGTGGTGTTCCTTAGAGCTAGCACACCAACTTTCCCCAGCGCGATAGCATCTAAGGTTGGGAGCCTAGGGAACTCTCAGGTAATGCAGTTATGCCCTACCCTGAAAGCCTCTTCAATGCTGTACCTTTTCCTTAAAAATATGAATGTAAGTTTTATTTTCCTAGTTGTGAGGCATGTTTTAACAATTCGTGTCAATAAAGAACAGTCCTGTCTGCCTCTGGGCCCTGCACTGGCAATTTAATTCTTGAACCACAGATGCAGTGTGTCCCAGTCTCCCCCTCATTCGAGTCAATTTATCAAGTCTTCAGAAAATACTCCTCAAATTTATGAACCTGTTTGCCTTTGTTATTCCGGACTTCTATTTCTAACAGTTACAGCCTTTTTTTTGTCTTCTTCGAGATTAGCTTAACACTGCTATAGGTGTGACTGTCCCTGTGAATGGCTGGTGAGGAATGTTTTAATTACTCGTGAAGTGTCAATAAGAAAGCTATTTGTGTTTGTATGAAGTCTTTGATGTCTGGGGGTTTCAGAACAACTGATAACAACTAGTGACTGTTATGGGATACTATGCAAGCCTCTGATATCTGGCCAGGTGGCCAAGAGATTAAGAAGAAGAAAAAAAGAAGCTGAAGGACGGCTAGGAGACAAGACCTGCAGGGGATGCTGTGTAAGCTTGACACGATGCCAAGGAGTACAAAGGGGAAGGACAAGAAAAATCTTGGAGAGGAAGACTACAAGCCTTCAGCATGAAAGACCCCTAGAGACCCCCAGAGGGACCACTGGAGACTGATGCGCATGCTCCAGTAGGAGGGACTGGACCTCGGAAGCTAATTATAATAACCTATTTTTTTAGAAGTAGAAATGAATACATATTAGTCTACGAGTATAAAAATCAGCTACTTGATGTGGCCAGTGTGCATCCTGGTGGAGCGGAGACTCCCGGTGCACCCAGCGCTATTTGCTTACCTCTATTCTTTTAATAAATCCTATTTTTTTTATTTAATCCTATTTTGAAGACTGAGCCATTTATAACAATTTGGGGACTCGTCCGGGATGGCTATGGTTCCTGAATTCTGATTTGATCTAGGAGAGGCACCCCACCATTTGGTGGCTCCTGTTTAAGTCGGGTCGGGACTAATGCCATCCTGAACCTGAATAAAGGTAAGCAAAGAATTTGATTTTTTTGAGCTCCCTTGCCGGCTGCAGCATTGTTGGTTTTTTTGCCCGTAATTCCGCGCGCAAAGATCCAGACGAAGACGACGGAGTCGTGTTTGTGGATACCGTCCGGTTGGGTAAAGGTGCAGTTGCCAGTGTGTGTGTGAGAGTGTAACTGAGACTTCTAAAGTCAGCGTGGAGGTCTTTTTGTTTTCTCACCGGTTCTACTCTCCTGCGGGGGCGGGCTTGGCCAGTGAAGGGAGTGATTCTATAGAAGTGGTTCCTATAGAATTCAGGGATACGTGGGTGGGTGATAGGTCCTAAACCCCCTGCAAGACACTCTCACTGGGGGCAACCAAGGGCTGTGGGAATTGCCACAAGTAAAATTCCCAGATGGGTCAGATAAAATTGAAGACCGAGGACCAGGAAGGGAGCAAATTACCAGATATACCACCAGAAAGTCCATTATGAATAATGATAATAAATTGGAACAATAGGGGCCCCAGAAAATTAAAGAGTAAATTAAAAATGATCCAGTATTATATGATAGAATGACCAAAAGAACCCTTAAGACCCCTTGTATTTTGATCAACGGAGGACGGGGTCTGTCAGGCTTTGAACATTAATAGTGGAATACCTGTGGATCCGGAAAAGAGCAAGCTGAAACATTGGAATTAGAATTTAGAAAGCAATTGATTAAGAATGAATACGTGCTACATTTGTGCCTGTGTTACACTTATACCTCCAGAAAACAGGAGCCTCTCGGACCCCGAGAACCAGATCAAAAACAACCTCATGGTTTGGACTTTAATCAAGGGGTCTGAGATAAGGAGGACTGTTCACAAAGGGACAGGTTATGCATATGTATAGGAATGTTCATGTATATGTAACTCTTTACTAAAGCAAGTTGCCACGTTAGGCGTGCATGACTTTGGTGGGACTACCCGCCCCGTGCTGCCCAGAACTGAGTAAACAAACCTACTTTACCATCTTACTGATTGTGGAGTCAGCTTTCTGTGAGTCATTTTGGTGAGCCAGGCAGGAGACACTCTGCTCGGCTGCGGGATCGGCTGCAGCGCGGACGCCCCTAGGTGCACGCTGAGTGTTTTGCTCAGAGGGGACTCCACTCTCAGCTGCTCACCGCAGGAGCAAAGATCTCCTGAAGCTGCAGACAAACGGTATGTTTTCGGCTGCTGGAGGGATACTAACTGGAGTCTTAATAATTGTATGTGTTTTTAAATGTCCAGGTATTTTGTGTTGAAAGTATTTGTGTAAGGGTTTAAAACAAAGTGTTACAAATCACGAAGAACACAGTCAGAGACAATACTTGTTTGGTTGGTTATCATTCTAAATTATATTCTTGTGGTATGAATGAGATGTGCTAGAGGCCTCTGTGTGCGATTGTGCTGTGTGAGTGAGACGCAGCGTTGCTGCAAAGCGAGTGCAGAGTTCCGATCCGTGGTTCTGTACTCTCTGCAAGGGGAGTGGGCGGAGACGAATGAAGCGCTTGACAGACTGAAAAGAAGTGCTGTTTTATCCAAGTTTTGAGTGGTGGTGCCTAATATATGGGCCTGACAGTGTATCTTGTGATTCTATTTTTGCTCTTAAATGCTTAGATTGTGACAAGAAAAAGGCGGGAGCATGATCTGACTGCTTTCAGCTGTGCTTCCTGCAACACCCTATGGCAACAACAAGTCAGAACAGGTGCTCTGCAGCAGACCCAAGGAGAAACTCAAATGTCATGAGATGCGACTGGAAGCAACTACCAGAACTGGGATGATGGAGGCATAAAAAGCCTGCCTTTAAGACTAGAGACCAGAAGGATGGGGAGTGAAAACCCCATAAGAAAACACTTAGGAATCAATTCCCAAGCAAAAGCTCCTGATGCAACCCAGATGACTTCTGCAAGAGTGAGGATGGAAACAGATGCGATCTGAAACCAAATATGATGCACGAGACTTGAAACAGATCTGCACTTTAAGCAGCGACTGCAAGACAGGAAGTGCTCAGATCAGCCCTACAATGACGAAACAAGCATTTAGGGCCTTTGGCATGGCTACCAAGTTGCACATCTAATCTGTACAGTGGAAAAAGTCAATGCGGATATCAAGACCTGAGGAGTGCGTAACATATGATGATCATATTAGGAAATATTTGATACAAAGAACTATTAAATGCACAGAAGTGATTCCTTTAAGCTCCCACTGCAAGACAAGAGGTGCTCAGCACCTAATTGAACATCAGCATTATTCCGATGAAGTCAAGTGTTCAGTACCCTCAGGATGGCTTCCCCAGGGCCCGCCAAGCACCAAGAGCAACAGCACAGTACAGACAACACAGAACACAGATGACAAGCTGGGACTGCCCTGTCTGGCACGTGCTCACGCTGTACGTGACAGAACTCCCCACACATAATCTCTCTGCCTGACCTGATCAATTCTGAAAGGCCCCATACACTGCAAGGACTTAAAAGCACAGACCCCGCAACCTATGGGTGCATTCACAACCCCAACTCAAACAGAGCACTTGCCCCCTAACTTAGCTTGGCAATGCTGGGAGGCACGTTCCACCCTCATCAAGGAATACAAAGGCTAGCCAGGACATTGCTTCAAGCACAAGGCTCCTTTTCACCTGCAGAAATAAAGTGCCATCAGGCACCAGCACACCAGCCAAACTTCTTCCAGTGAAACACCCTCCTCAGAAACAAAACAGTAGTCAATTGACCTGCTCCGCTACTGAAATTAGATAGACACCCTCTAGACAACTCCCCACCTCCCCCTGCCAACCACTCCCCAACACACAGTATTTGCCCCTGGACTTAATTCTCAGG